CTTACCAACTTTCTATCTATCTGTTTATCTTATTTACCTTACCAACTCTGTCAATCTAATCTACGTACTCACCAACCTTTCATTTATCTGTCTGTCTTTTCCTGCCTACATGTCATTCTATTTTAAATTTCAATTTCTAAATAAAATGCTGATCACTCACCATTTTTTGCGAACTCCGGTGAAAGCCAGAAATAATGATAGATGCCCTGGTGTCTGCCTCAGACTTTATAAATGTGGGAAACAGCAATCAGAGAAATTCCTTTCCTTAAAATTATCACACAAGTTTATGTTTTTCTTCTACTGTTAGTTAATCACAAAAATATGTCTCAGTTCACAAGAAACCATTTATTTCTATATAATATATCCACAAAATATTCAATATAAAAAAAATTAATAAAATGTTGACCAATGCATTCTTTCTAGAAAAACAATGTGTCAATTTTCTTCCGCTTTACATCCTCTTTTACCGCTTTGGGTATCGAGGGAGATATAAAGTCCTGCTTCGTGCTCTTCTGACTGCTTCGATCATAGACACATTGTGTGTTGTAGAGTTTTTCTCTGATGTTATCTTTCCATATTGTTCTCAGTCTACCTCTTGCACTATGTCCCTCTCTTTTGAAATATGCCTTGTATGGTATAGCATCAGAAGGCATTCTCTCCAAGTGGGCAAACCATTTGATTTGCTGTCTTTGTATGTAATTTAGAATTGGTTCCGTGCTGACTTTATCTCGTTTGACCTAATTCCTGATTTTATTTTTTTTGGTCACTCCTACATTGTTTCTCGGACACCCACCTCATTTCCATAGTTACTAATGTTCTTTTATGTTTTGTTGTGAGTGACCACGTCTGGCACTGAAAGGATTGGATACTCACCACAAAGGGGTTTTTTTTCTAAAAAGGTGCTCGTACTTACCACACAGTTTATATTACATTACCGCCGAAAAAAGGATGGCTCAATAAAAGGGGGTGCCAGTACTGTGAACCACTGCGTACTGCCAGAAAAAAAATTATGATGCTAGCACAAACAATAGATTCCACAATGTATTACCTGGCATATTTTGCTGTATCTCGTCAGGTGCATTACAGTCAACATTTAATGTAGCACACATAAATAATCCCTTACACTGAATTACACTTGGATAAAATACTTTTTCTTGCATTTAGCTATTTTTGAATTAAAACCAGCACAAAATAATCACACACCCACAGAAACTGTCACTGCAGAAATTGCAATGCTGCAAGTGTTTGACGTATTCATTTCACTGGGAACTGTTATTCTGTCCACAGAGTCGCTTTGCAGTGTGCCAGCTTTTCAATGTTTTTATTTTATTTTTCAGAAGATAATGTCTCTTTTCTAACTGCTTATTAGTCAGCATCTATGTATGAAGGTTATAAACACATTTTCACACGATGTTCACTTAAGCTGCAGGTGATTTGACAGCAGACCACTTGCATTGATTTCAACAAAGATATCAGCACCCAACAGCTCAAAAGCTACGGCATACTGAAGAATATAAAATTGTCAAGTAAAACCGCAAACGGCCAATAAATGTTAGGATTTTTTTGCAAATTCCTGTAAATGATATGCACCCAACTATATAAGTGCTTTTATTTATTTTTTTTTTTTGGCCCCTTTTTGACAGTTTGTTTTGTCTGTAGATGTTTTTGACAATACAAACGGTCATTTCTATATTTTGTGGAAATTTTATATTCTCATGTTACAAGCCAGATATGCAAACAGACACTTAAACATGAAAACTAAACGAAGCAAGGACTGTCAAGACTGATCAGTTTCCTTCAAGCATGTAATAATATACGCAGCTGGTACATGGTTGTCTGCCATCATTTGAGATGCGCAGTCTAGGAAATGGTGGTTCGAATGTTTGAAATAATTAGAAATAATTTATGTGGGACAAACTCTATATAAATGTTAAATACAGAATGAGGTCAGGAGCCCTTCTATGGTATCTATATGCCTATTTTTTTTATAGTAGGCTGGCAGCATGTTGTTACTAGAGGTGTGTAACATCTGCAACTGTAACTATAGGTTGTTTTTGTGTGTGTGTGTGTGTGTTAAAGTGTGTGAGGTTCATTACTCTATGTGTATGATGTTTATTACTATAGGTGTGTCATGTTTGTTACTGTAAGCGTATGATGTTAATTACTGCAGGTGTGTGAGGTTTGTTACTGCAGGTGTGTGAGGTTTGTTACTGCAGGTGTGTGATGTTTGTCACTTTAGGTGTGTGATGCTTGTTACTGCAGGTGTGTGATGTTTGTTACTGCAGGTGTGTGATGTTTGTTACTGCAGGTGTGCAATGTTTGTTACTCCAGATGTGTGACATTTGTTGCTGTAGGTGTGTGATGTTTGTTACTGCAGGTGTGTGATGTTTGTTACTGCAGGTGTGTGATGTTTGTTACTGTAGGTGTGTGATGTTTGTTACTGCATGTGTGTGACATTTATTACTGTAGGTGTGTGATGTTTTTTTACTGCAGGTGTGTGAGGTTTGTTTCTGCAGGTGTGTGAGGTTTGATACTCTAGGTGTGTGATGTTCATTACTGCAGGTGCGTGAGGTCTGTTACTGCAGGTATGTGAGGTCTGCTACTGCAGGTATGTGAGGTCTGCTACTGCAGGTGTGTGAGATCTGTTACTGCAGGTTTGTTACTCTAAGTGTGTGATGTTAATTACTGCATGTGTAGAGGTCTGTAACTGCAGGTGTGTGATGTTTGTTACTGCAGGTGTGTGATGTTTGTTACTGTAGGTGTGTGACATTTATTACTGTAGGTGTGTGGTGTTTATTACGGTTGGTGTGTGATGTTTGTTACTGTATGTGTATGAGTTTTATTACTGCACATGTGTGATGTTTGTTACTGTAGATGTTCAAGGTTTGTTACCGTAGATGTGTGAGGTTTATTACTGTAGATGTGTGAGGTTTGTTTCTGTAGATCTGTGAGGTTTGCTAGTGTAAATGTGTGATGTTTGTTACTGTAGATGTGCGAGGTTTGTTACTGTAGATGTGCGAGGTTTGTTACTGTAGATGTGTGAGGTTTGTTACTGTAGATTTACTACAATAACATCACAACCACCAGCAACAAATCACCACAAACCTTCCATCTCTACATTAACAAGCAAGGATTTCTTACTTACATGCCAATAAAATGGTACATGTGAACATTGCTTTCTGCTTGCTCAACCAGTAAATGGGTATATCTGAACATGAGATTTTACAGACATACCAATAAATCTGTGCATTTGGAAATGATTTCTCACAAAAATACCAACACACCAGTACATCTGAACATGAGATTTTACACATTTACTAATAAACCGGTTTATTTAGACCTGAGATTTCCTACATTTGCCAACAAATGGTACATCTGAACATGAGATTTCACACACTAACCATTAAACTGGTACATTTGGATATAGGAATTCACATACATACCAATAAACCGGTACCTAGGGAAACTGGATTTTACATACATACTAATAAACCAGTACCCAATGACATGAGATTTTACACACATACCAGTAAACTGGTACGTAAGGAGATGAGATTTTACACACATACCAGTAAACTGGTACGTAAGGAGATGAGATTTTACACACATACCAGTAAACTGGTACGTAAGGAGATGGGAATTTACACACATACCAGTAAACTGGTACATAAGGAGATTGGATTTTACACACATACCAGTAAACTGGTACGTAAGGAGATGGGATTTTACACACACATACCAGTAAACTGGTACGTAAGGAGATGGGATTTTACACACATACCAGTAAACTGGTACGTAAGGAGATTGGATTTTACACACATACCAGTAAACTGGTACGTAAGGAGATGGGATTTTACACACACATACCAGTAAACTGGTACGTAAGGAGATGGGATTTTACACACATACCAGTAAACTGGTACGTAAGGAGATTGGATTTTACACACATACCAGTAAACTGGTACGTAAGGAGATGGGATTTTACACACATACCAGTAAACTGGTACGTAAGGAGATGGGATTTTACACACATACCAGTAAACTGGTACGTAAGTAGATTGGATTTTACACACATACCAGTAAACTGGTACGTAAGGAGATGGGATTTTACACACATACCAGTAAACTGGTACGTAAGGAGATGGGATTTTACACACATACCAGTAAACTGGTACGTAAGGAGATGGGATTTTACACACATACCAGTAAACTGGTACGTAAGGAGATGGGATTTTACACACATACCAGTAAACTGGTACGTAAGGAGATGGGATTTTACACACATACCAGTTTACTGGTACGTAAGGAGATGGGATTTTTACACACATACCAGTAAACTGGTACGTAAGGAGATTGGATTTTACACACATACCAGTAAACTGGTACGTAAGGAGATGGGATTTTACACACATACCAGTAAACTGGTACGTAAGGAGATGGGATTTTACACACATACCAGTAAACTGGTACGTAAGGAGATGGGAATTTACACACATACCAGTAAACTGGTACGTAAGGAGATGGGATTTTACACACATACCACTAAACTGGTATGTAAGTGGATTGGGTTTCACACACATACCAGTAAAGAAGTACCTAAGGAGATAGCATTTTTACACACGTACCTACAAACTACAGTTAAAACTCATTAACATGAACTCACTTAAGAAGAACACTCAGTTAGCATGAACTCAGCTAAGAAGAACATTAGTTAAAATGAACTCATTTAGGAAGAACACTCAGTTAACATGAACCCATTTAAGAACACTCAGTTAACATGAACTCACTTAAAAAGAACATTCAGTTAATATGAACTCACTTAAGAAGAACAATCAGTTAACATGAAATTACTTAAGAAGAACATTCAGTTAACATGAACACAATTTTGGTCCCTGGTTAGCATAATTTGTGTTCAAAACAGGAACTCTTCATTTTTCAGTCCCCTGGAATTCATGTTTACGAGGTTCTACTGAAGTAAGTTGAGATCAAAGAGTTCAACATTATACAGAAAGTGCATGCTGTCGGTACAGTAAATCCACAGATGACTCTTCGTAAGGTGCTTCCCACAAGATGCCCGCAGGGGGGACTGCACTGCTGTGGGAAACACTGCTATAAGGCAGGGTATAAACATCTACATTGCTGGCGTTTTTAGCCTTCAGACAGGATACCCTGTTTTGGGCCTCCAAAATCCTCACTTTGGTTTCATTTTGTAATTTTGTCTGTAGCGCAACTTTGGCCAATGCTATCTCCTTCTGCTTCGTCATCTTCTGGTGCTCCAAGTAATTTTTCACAGCCTCTTTCTGCGCTTGTTCAGTTTTCTGAAAGAGTTTTTAAAAAAAAGATATAAAGTAGTAGACTGGAGGAGTCTGAGGAAAATTTGTTGTAAATGTGTAAATAGTTCTTCTTCTTCTTCTTCTTCACTTCCTCTTTTACTGCTTCAGATGTTGAGGGAGATATAATGTTCTGCTTCGTGCTTTTTCTGGCTATCTCGACCATGGACACATCGCGTTGATGTAGAGTGTCTCTGATGTTATCTTTCCATCTTGTTCTTGGTCTGCCTCCTGCTTTATGTCCTTCTCCTCATGTATGCCTTATGTAGAATAGAGTCACAAGGCATTTTCACTACATGTGCAAACCATTTGATTTGTTGTCTTTAAAACTGATTTTATCTTTTCTGTCACTCCTGCAGCTTTTCTCACACATCTCTTTTCCATGAAACAGTTCAGTTGTGCCCACTTTAAATTTAAGTTTAATTTTTTAATGATTGAGATCATGCCAGACTATTGTATTCCTGTGCAGAAGTGAAGAAAGAGGTTAAAATTGAATCTTAGATCTGCTATATTACAGTACCACTGCATTCAAAATAAAAACAAAGAAAGACTTATTTCCTTGTCTTGAGATAATCTGTTAGCTCCGAATTTCTTATACTATTTTCAGTTCCTAAGGAACTGAAGTTCATACTAGAGACAACATTGCAGATATAGATAATTTATTTCAAGCGAACAAAAGAAGAAGAAGAATCCAAGGACAAAGAAGGGGGGGGAGGATAATAGCAAAAGGCATGATACTATGAATGAGAAGCAGGGGCCGACTAGCATGATGATGGGCATAGGGTATGAGGGACACCCTGAGTAGAAAGGTACATGAGGCGGGAGAGCTGCCGAGAGACCAAGTTCCTTTCTGGCAGACTGCAAAGAGAGTGATGTTCTGCAAAAGACTTGCTACATGATGACTATTTCATTTTCTGTTCTTTCTTCTACATTTTATTTTGCAACAGATTTTCCTTATCTCAGTTTTAACAACTCTGTTCTAGTTTTTCATAGACTTGGCTGTAGCTTAGGCTTCTTCATCTTGTTTTAGCTGTTGGTGCACTTTGATGAAAAGGTTTGGTTGTATTTGCGTATGTTTTTTTCTTTCCCTAGTTTCTGAGCTCACAGTTTGCATTTAGTGAATCGATTTTGTGACATCATCATAGATAAAATTGAGATTTCAACTTCACTGCAATCAATTCACCCCATTCTTTTAACGTGGTTGCTAAAGATATTTCGCCCTTTTTAGAACAAAATTTTTCGTTATTTGAAGCCCCACCCTGGCTTTTGCCAGGGGCCGCAATATAGGCAGGCCATAAATAATGGCCAATTGTCTGAACGCGGTTTCTGGGACCTCTCCACGGCGATCCTCATCTACATGGTGGCACTTTGTGTCATTGGGTGTTTATCGCTTGTGTGATGTCCTGGTGGGGTAGAAAGTCAGTCAGTCACCCCATTCTTGCTCCATTCCTTTACTACTGAAAATCAAATGAAATGCCCCTCACTGTCTCATTGGGTTAAACTTTAACCTTTAAGAGAGAATGTCATAAAATGTGACTATTGGATAGATGTTGCTGAAGTCAGATATGTTGGGCCAAAAGAAACAGATGTCCTAATCTAGCTGTAAATCACAAATGCCAACCATCCATGAGCACAGCAGAAGATACAGTTTAGGAAAATTACCTTCATTTCAGAAACTTCTTTTTGTCTGCTCTTTTTGTTGTCTTCAACATATGCCTGTCGATCATATCGTTGGAGAGTGTTTGATATTGATGAACGTTGAGAGTGAAACTCTTGCATGAATATGCAATCTGCTTGCTGCATTTTCTTGAAATGTGACCTCTGAACCTTTACAGCCAGAAAGAAACAACTGATAAATCAAATATCTCATATATGAATTCTGGTTGCAAGGCCCCAGTTTAGAGGGGAGGGGTGGAGAAGAACTGACCCAGTGCCCCCAAACAAGAAAGTCAATTAATTTGGAGTTTTCTTAAAGCAGATATGTTGGAACAAGGTATATATATTGCAGCCTAGCTGGAAACCACAAAACAATATGCTGTCCCTCCTTTTAAGCATAAATGCAGTAAAAATTTAATTTCCACATCAGAAATGAGAAAAAGTTTTTTTTTTTAATTTAAAGGACTCTTTTCATAGGCATAGTTCTCCTGTTTGTGTTAGGGGTTCTATTCTGGGGAATAAAGAAAAGACCAACTCCATCTCCCCCCCCCCCTCAATCCCAACCAGCATGTCATAGGAGGATTGATTAGAGGTATTTCCTTCAGAGTGCATCAGCCTGAGAGTTAAGGAACTAACAGTCTGCATACAAATAAGCCAGATCTGTAAAACAAATGTGGATCAAAACTAAAATTCTGGAGTGGATGAAAAAAGAACTTTCTGCTGGAGTTTACAACCAGTGAATGCTCACAAGGAGAAGGGGAAGAAGCAGGAGCAGCAGAAGAAGAAGAAGAAGAAAAGTATAGTCTACATGATGCTAGTTTATATTTGTATTGACTAATGAGCTTTTAATGGGTTCCCCCGTGTGAGTTTCTGGACCCCAGTGTTGGGAAAACAAGAACAGACCCACTGCCTACCCAAAAGCATATCGTTAGAGTCGACTAATTTGGAGCTCTCTTCAAAGTCGGAGTGCATCTGCCTGATAGGCAAGGAACCAACAGTCTGCATACGCATGAATCAGATCTGGGAAATACATGTGCATGCAACACTCAAGTTCTGAAACAGGACTAGAGTCCAGATGTTGACGTGCAACAACCAGCCCTTTCTGTCAGAGTTTACAGCCGGTGAAGGCAAAGAAGAAGAAGATTTAATGGATGATGTGGTCAACATCAAACAATAAAAGGAAACGTTTACCATTTATTGGGAGACCAGTACCTGCATGATAAGTTTCCTGCATAATGAAACCTGCAGGTGTTTTAGTTAAGTGATCCTTGTAGCTCATACACAGACTTTTTCTTTTTCTTCTTTTTCACTATCACAGAGCATGTCCAGAAAGGTGGAGAAAGGTATGCTCCGTGCAGTGGCAAGCATTATTTCAGAGGTCCCAAGCAGTTAGCATACTTTGACTGTTTTCTCCAGGGTACGCCAGTAATATGCATGTAATAAGATCTAACGGCCTCTCAAAAACAATACTGCATAGCTTAGTAGAGAGAAAGAGGAGAAGACGCAGGCCAAGAAAGACTTGGTTACAGAACCTGACTGACTGGACAGGCCTCAGGCATGCAATCATGAAGTCCATCACAACTGACCGCCAAAGGTGGAGAGACATGATCAGTCAACAGAAACTGGTGACCCAATGACACGTAGTATTATGGGATGATGATGATGACGCCAGTGTGTTGGGAAATAAGTAATGGCTTTTTATAGGCTACATTGTCATGGAATTAGTCATCTATATATATCGTATTTTTAGACCCTGTGAATTTATTCCATTTAATGCATCACCCTCTTTATGTTTATTAATTACTGCATTATTTATCTTTGTATACTACTTGGGGGCAAAAATACAGATTTAGATAAACAAATGTTTATAAAATTAGTGACCTGTACAATTAGGTTGTTATTTTAAAGAATAGTTTCAGAGAATTCTAACAGGTTCATGACCATTTTTTTTTAAATAATTTTTTTTAAGCATTAGCGGGGTGGAAGGGTCAATTCTAACAACAAGTGACTATAACATATTTTTTTTTCAGTTGTCACATCCTTTTCCAGACTCCAGTCACATAATCAACAGTCACATAATCAACAGTCACATAATCAACAGTCACATAATCAACAGTCACATAATCAACAGTCACATAATCAACAGTCACATAATCAACAGTCACATAATCAACAGTCACATAATAGACAGTCACATAATCAACAGTCACATAATCAACAGTCATATAATAGACAGTCACATAATCAACAGTCACATAATCAACAGTCACATAATCAACAGTCACATAATCAACAGTCACATAATCAACAGTCACAAAATCAACAGTCACAAAATCAACAGTCACATAATCAAACTTAAACAAGACAAATGTTATGTATGTCCTGATGTTGGTAATTAAATGTCCTGAAATGTGGGGAATAAAATATCATAATATGTATAGTCAAATGTCCTTATGAAAGCTGTCTAATGTCATAATATGAACAGATCAATGTCATGATGTCAGTGATCAAATGTCTTTTTGTGGGTAATCAAATGTCCTAACTTGGGTAACATAATGTTTTAAGGTGAGTGATCAAATGTCTTTTTGTGGGTAATCAAATGTCCTAAACTGGGTAACATAATGTTTTAAGGTGAGTGATCGAATGTCTTTTTGTGGGTAATCAAATGTCCTAACTTGGGTAACAGAATGTTTTAAGGTGAGTGATCAAATGTCTTTTTGTGGGTAATCAAATGTCCTAAACTGGGTAACATAATGTTTTAAGGTGAGTGATCAAATGTCTTTTTGTGGGTAATCAAATGTCCTATACTGGGTAACATAATGTTTTAAGGTGAGTGATCAAATGTCTTTTTGTGGGTAATCAAATGTCCTAAACTGGGTAACATAATGTTTTAAGGTGAGTGATCAAATGTCTTTTTGTGGGTAATCAAATGTCCTATACTGGGTAACATAATGTTTTAAGGTGAGTGATCAAATGTCTTTTTGTGGGTAATCAAATGTCCTAAACTGGGTAACATAATGTTTTAAGGTGAGTGATCGAATGTCTTTTTGTGGGTAATCAAATGTCCTAACTTGGGTAACAGAATGTTTTAAGGTGAGTGATCAAATGTCTTTTTGTGGGTAATCAAATGTCCTAACTTGGGTAACATAATGTTTTAAGGTGAGTGATCAAATGTCTTTTTGTGGGTAATCAAATGTCCTAACTTGGGTAACATAATGTTTTAAGGTGAGTGATCAAATGTCTTTTTGTGGGTAATAAAATGTCCTAAACTGGGTAACATAATGTTTTAAGGTGAGTGATCAAATGTCTTTTTGTGGGTAATCAAATGTCCTAACTTGGGTAACAGAATGTTTTAAGGTGAGTGATCAAATGTCTTTTTGTGGGTAATCAAATGTCCTAAACTGGGTAACATAATGTTTTAAGGTGAGTGATCAAATGTCTTTTTGTGGGTAATCAAATGTCCTATACTGGGTAACATAATGTTTTAAGGTGAGTGATCAAATGTCTTTTTGTGGGTAATCAAATGTCCTAAACTGGGTAACATAATGTTTTAAGGTGAGTGATCGAATGTCTTTTTGTGGGTAATCAAATGTCCTAACTTGGGTAACAGAATGTTTTAAGGTGAGTGATCAAATGTCTTTTTGTGGGTAATCAAATGTCCTAACTTGGGTAACATAATGTTTTAAGGTGAGTGATCAAATGTCTTTTTGTGGGTAATCAAATGTCCTAACTTGGGTAACATAATGTTTTAAGGTGAGTGATCAAATGTCTTTTTGTGGGTAATCAAATGTCCTAAACTGGGTAACATAATGTTTTAAGGTGAGTGATCGAATGTCTTTTTGTGGGTAATCAAATGTCCTAAACTGGGTAACAGAATGTTTTAAGGTGAGTGATCAAATGTCTTTTTGTGGGTAATCAAATGTCCTAGTGTGGGCAATCAGATGTCCTAAAACTTTAAGAAAACGAAACATACAACCTTTTGTTCATGTAGCCTGTTCAGGAAGATGAGTTTCTGAACTTCCTGTTTCTCCAGCTGCTCTAAGATTTGAGACTTCTCCATGTCCCGTGTCTGCAGCACCTTCAGTCTTTTCTCGCTGTGGTGTCTTCTAATTTTATCCTTAGCTTGTAGTCTCTCTTCTCTCCAACCTAAATTATTTTCTGATTTCACTGCAGCAGCCTCTGCTTTTTCTCTCTCCTAACAATTATACAGATTAGAAAACATTTAAACCTTTTGTGCAGAAATAGTTTATAAAATAATCCACTCTAACAGTAATACTTTTCTTCTAGTAAGAACTTTATATTAACATGTTCATGAACAAAATAGCTAGTACAGCTAAAAAGTGTTAATTCTTCTTCTTCTTTTTCGGTGTGTGTGTGTTTTTGTTTTTTTGTGTATTTTATTTTTAATCTCACTGATACCAGGTTGCAGCCCAGTGTCATGGTTTCTGTATTTGTCTTGCACTTCTCAGGTGGTTTGGGTGATAGTTTTGTTAATCTTTTTGCAGGTTTCACAAACATTTACACCTCTCTTTCTTGTCTTTCCCTCACTTCCTCCCAGATGTTCAGCTATAAAAAAATCTCATATGTAGTTTGGTCTGGCTGCATTCTCACTAAATGAATGAACCATTTCATTTTCTGCCTGTCAATATAATTCATACGCAGTCTTTTTTATAACTTTCTCTACAATTCTGGTCTTGTTAGTGACTTTATGGAGACAGCTCATTTCACATGTAGTTCTTGTCTGTTCTAATGCCCTGTTCACTGATCGTGTTTGGCACAGATAGCATAAAGTAGGGATAAAAATGTTTTTAATCATTTGTTGTTTTGCTGGAAGGGAGACATTTGGGTGTCTAAGCAGTGTGGCTAGCTGGTAGGTGACGCTATTCGCCTTCTGAATTTTGTCTTCTGTCTCTCTACTGAGTCTGCCATCGTCTGTAAATATGCTTCCTAGAAATTTTAATTTTCTTAATTGTATGACTATAGTACCATTAACATAGAAGTACAAGTTTTTCCATTTCCTGCCTATTTTTATTACCTTAGTTTTTGCTGTGCTTATTTTCATATCATACTTTGATGAAAGCTTTCAATTAACACTTAAAAACAGAACTCAACATACTTTGTAAGCCTTGTGTACAGCCATCAGACAAGACAGGCTCATCGTCCCATGGGTTTTGTTAAATAATCTTTGTTCGATTGTTGTAAGACGGTTACGTTTCACTGTCATCTATAGCAAAGTTTAAAAAGGACATTTTATTATACTCACACAAAAAAACTTTTTTTAAACCACTTGAAAGAAGAAATGATGAGAAAGGTTCATGAATGACATCAGAACATGTTGGAGAAGTAAATGAAGTATAGAAAAGTTCTTCTTTTTAGCACTGACTGGCTGTAAACTCCATGGAAAGTTCTGGTTGTTTATCCACTTCTGAACTTTAGTTTTGTTCCAGAATTTGAGTTATGCATGCACATCTGTTTTACAGAGATAGCTTATTTGTATGCAGTCTGTTGGTTCTGCACCTCTCAGGCAGATACCTCTGACTTTGATGAAAACACCAATTAGTCGCATTTTATATGCTTGGTAGGAGGTGGGGATGGGGGGGGGGGGGGGGGGGGGGAGGTCTTTACTTTTTCACCTAAAAAGGGGCCCCAGAACATGTTGGAGAAGTAATTGCAGCTCCTCCTCTGGATGGGTGCTAATTGCTGCATCCTCTTTATTTAAGAAATGAACGTAAACTACCACCATCATCATCATCAAGAGCCTTACTGACCAGTATTTTCCTCTACCTCTTGCAAACAGGAAGGAAGATATATATGTGTCTGGTTATACTGTGGTCAGCTGTTTCCTTACTATTATTCCAATCATCAAAATTCATTTCGAGAGTTTACACAAATGCTCACCCAGCCCACAATGTCTTCAGATCTCAGATGTGCCAGCCAAAAGGTGCAAATATGGCAGCCATCTCAGCCATGCAGAGGATGACCCACTTCTGACATCATCCTTCGCTTTCTTCCTTCAGTTCTGAAAGCATGTGATCCGATTAGAGTAGCATCCTTCTGTCTTTCCCGACGATCGTGTTATACTGTGCTGCGAAGAGCCATGCATTCTTCTTAGGCATCGCATGTGAAAACTTTTTTTAGCTGTTTGTTCTGGTATGAAAAAGTTGACCAAGTTTCATTGCCATAAAGAACTCAAGTCTGATAGACATGAGTTTTTGATTTTAATCATGAGATTTCTGTTCTCCCAAACTTTTTTTTTTTTTGGGGGGGTATCTGCTCACTGTTGTTGCTGCCCTACCTATCCTGATGTTGATTTCTTGATCCAGTGACAGTTCGTTATTTACTCTGGATCCAAGATAAGTAAATGGTCAACTGTCTTCAGCTCTTCAACGGCAATGTAGCCTGCAGGTGTATCATTAACATCTTGCACCATAACCTTTGTCTTCTTTATGCTGATTGTTAATCCAAATTTACGGCATGCATCAGCAAAAGTAAACATTGCAGCTCCTCCTCTGGGTGGGTGCTAATTGCTGCATCCTCTTTATTTAAGAAATGAACGTAAACTACCACCATCATCATCATCAAGAGCCTTACTGACCAGTATTTTCCTCTACCTCTTGCAATCTTCAGCAGTATTAGTTGATTTGCTGTGACACCTCTACATGCCATGAAGAAGACTGTCATCTTCTCTCATCCTCTTTCTATCTCTCTTTTTTTTTCTGTTTCTGTATAACTCTTGTTTTTCTATTCTCAAAATATAGCTAAAAAGATAACAAAAACCTAACTACAAATGACTAACAAATGTCTAAGTGATAGATGTTTAAAAAAAATAAAGGAAATTATAGGCAAGAAAGAAAAGGGTAAGAATAAACAAATAGTTTATGACAGCTTTATAAAATCAATTACAAAGAAAAAAAACAAAGGACTTTGCAGCAATCAGCCTTCATCAACAAACAAGGACAACACAGCACATTCACAAAAATATACACCAACTATGAAATGACTACATGAGAATATTGTGTACACAAATATGACAACATGATAATAAATCACAGGCTTATACTAAGTAGGTGACAATTATCTAGGTCGCTGGGGAAGCTCAAGAGGATTAGACAGATACTAACCTTTATATTTCCAGAGTGCAGACGGTAAGTGAAGTTGGGTCAGTATACTTCGGTGGAGGGAGGAATTATCACCAGTCATAGTGAGAGAAAGGAAACAACCATAAAAATGTTCATTGAAATCCCCCCCCCCCCCCCCCCCTCCTAAAAAAAAAACGAGTAAGTTTAGATGATGCTATGCTGGGTATTCAGGACTTGTGGTGAGAAGTTACCCGTCAAATAGACCAGGTGGTTTTCCGGTGCTGATCAAACAATGAGCAGGATCCGATGATTGTGACCTGAATGTCAGTGGTCTCATGATGATCAGCGCTGTTGAAATGAGTGTAAACTGGTCTAGCGGTTTTGTTGGTGATGTCATGAAGTTGCTGGCGGAATCTATCCGCTAAACGGAGATCAGTTTCACCGACATACTTGATGTTGCACGGTTTGCAGATGACAGCAAAGATGACGAGAATGAATATGATGCACATATCGGAACTGGTATGAGGTGATATTTCTACTATGTTAAAAAAGCAAAGTACAATAGAAGAAATGAAGTAGCAGATAATTCTTTTAACACACAGTAAAAAAGGAGACATGAAACTCATACAGGAGGCTGCAAGAGTTCCTTTCTCTTTTGCACTTCCTCTGCTTCTCTTATTAGTTCACCAGCTTCTTTCTTGCTCAAAATCATTTCTGTGGTAGCATCAACAGTCAGAAAATGAGGCTTCCTGCCTGGTTGGGTTTACAAAAATAATGGTATGGTGTTACTCAAAACAACGTTTTCCTTCTGTAAATTTAATTAATATGGACATAAAACAATACGATGCAAAACTTTATCATTATCTTATTGTCTCATTATATGTCACATAGGGCCCCAGTCTCATCCTCTATTCCGGTCTATCCTGTGCAATCGTCTCGATGTCATGGATGGAAGCCAGTCCAGTGCCTCTGTGCTCTCTCAAACAATGCTTGTCTCAGGTTTTCTCTTGAATGCTCTCATTTCCTCTGGCCATTTGTTTCAAATTTGAGTGCAATATTTATTGTTTGGCGTATATAATTACTGGGGCTATAATTACATTCAGCATTGTTGCTTCCTTTGTTAAATCACAAACATTTCACTAATGTGAGCATGTGTTTTTATTGTGAACTATTGTTAATTATGTCTATCAGCGGGTCAACTGGTCAACCTCATGGTCGATATTCTATTCTTTTTCTTTCTGTCTGAAAAATTCGTAAAAATTGTTAATATGTCATAATCTCTTTAAGATCTGGCTAAGGATTTTCAGCTAGAATGAAAAGAAAGATCACGGCAGAACAAAACGGAACTTTTTTTTTTTTTAGTCTACAACTTCAGGCATAGGGATTGCTACTGAAGATGGAGATGGAGCACTTATGGGAGTGTCCCGAGTGATGTGATGTTGATTCTTAATTCAACATTCAACAAGGCATGGGGATAAAGATGAAGACAATCACTTCAGTTCTGATGTTGATAGTAGAAAACAGTTACCAGAGGAACTATTGTGTCTGATTCTCAGTTGGTGCCCCGAGAGGTTCAGAACGGCCAAATGTTCAATGAGTGGTTTACCAAGCATCAGTACGTCATCATTACAGGGACTCATGTGGATATACTGTCTGAGATATGCAGGAGTGCAAGGGAATGAAAGAGTGGATTTTTTCTTTCAAAAGTGTAAGCTACGGGAGTGCAAGGGAATGAAAGAGTGGATTTTTTCTTTCAAAAGTGTAAGCTACGGGAGTGCAAGGGAATGAAAGAGTGGATTTTTTCTTTCAAAAGTGTAAGCTACGGGAGTGCAAGGGAATGAAAGAGTGGATTTTTTCTTTCAAAAGTGTAACATGCAAGGGAATGAAAGAGTGGATTTTTTCTTTCAAAAGTGTAAGCTACGAGAGTGCAAGGGAATGAAAGAGTGGATTTTTTTCTTTCAAAAGTGTAAGCTACGGGAGTGCAAGGGAATGAAAGAGTGGATTTTTTCTTTCAAAAGTGTAAGCTACGGGAGTGCAAGGGAATGAAAGAGTGGATTTTTTCTTTCAAAAGTGTAAGCTACGGGAGTTCAAGGGAATGAAAGAGTGGATTTTTTCTTTCAAAAGTGTAAGCTACGGGAGTGCAAGGGAATGAAAGAGTGGATTTTTTTTTTCAAAAGTGTAAGCTACGGGAACACTTGTACTAGATAAAGTAGATATTCTGAAGACCATTTATGGATGAATGCGGATAAAAGACATAAGGTTAGATGAAATAACATGTGAAAGAATGTGAGAATGAGGACTCAGATGTGGATCCGGCAAGAAAAGACATGAGAGAAGAGAACCACGTGTGTATAATCAGTGTGCTACAGGAACAGTTAGCTTCTACACCTCAAGATATTTGCTGCGGGAGATGGAGCACCTATGGGTATGCCTGGTGTACTATGATGTTGATTCTCAAATCAGAAATCAGAGTCTGTTTCAATTACCACTAATTACTGGCATAATGAGGGCAAATAGACTGCAATGATTAAGGGTGCTTTATTAATATTCTACCCAAAACAGGAAAAATTCACAGTTCATGGGACAGTCTAATATTTCATGGGGTAAAAGGCTGCATGCAGTCCTGGGACCTAGGATGCATGCAGTCGTGAGACCTAGGCTGCACTGTCTCGTGGGACATAGGTGGGTTGGGGTTAGGGCCAGTTCTAGAAGTTTTGGAGTCATTTAAAAGCATCCGAAAGCCAGGAAACCCAGTCTTACCACCCTCTAAAATGTTGGACTGTCCTGTGACGTCATCTGGGGTACGATATTAATAAAGTACCCCACCAAGAAATAGGCTATAGAGAGAGTGACAGATAACAGAGACAAAAACTGTGTACACAAAGAGATAAGTTGCAGTAGACCATTGGGCAGACCAAGAAGTTGATGGAGAGATCATATTTAGGCAGGCTTACAAACATTCAGAGTCAGAAACTGGAAAGACAAAGACAATCATACAGATGAAATGAGGTGGAGGATATCTACAGCAATAAACATCAAAAGATAAGAATGCTGAAGAAGAAGAAGGTGATGCAGTGCTGAAAAACAAGGCAAGCCACTTTCTATCCACTGTTCTCATTACTGCATATCATGAAACATTACCTCTAATTCTGAAATCAGCCTGTGGTATTTCATCATCCTCCATTTCAAGTGAAACAGTTTGAACCACGGGCCCAAAAAACTTTTTGATGTCCTGAATTCTCTTTGACTTTGGCTTCTGAATAGAATAAAACAGAAACTACTGCAGTTACCACTGCACTAGCTGGCCGGCAGATGACTTTGTCACAGGTCAGTACAGTATTTGGATCTGTCTCATTGGATCGCACCAACAATGCAAAAGTTCTTTTCAGGGCTTTTGGTGGCATGCAGTGCTAAGTCATTTTATATGGTGACCTATAACTAGTCATAATTATAACCTAAAGTTCCCCCCTCCCCCTTTTAGGGATGTTGGTTAAATGGGATGATTTTTTTAAGCAAAGCCCAGACAGGCAGTTCTCATTTACATGTGTTACAGTAGCATGGTAATTTTATTGTTTGCCTACCATGGCAGTGGCTCAAGTAATATCCCAATTCTCTTTATGTGTATTTATTAATGCGTGAGTTAGTATATCTTTATTAATGTGTGAGAATATCTATATTAATGTGTGAGTTAGTATATCTTTATTAATGTGTGAGTTAGTATATCTTTATTAATGCGTGAGTTAGTATATCTTTATTAATGTGTGAGAATATCTATATTAATGTGTGAGTTAGTATATCTTTATTAATGTGTGAGTTAGTATATCTTTATTAATGCGTGAGTTAGTATATCTTTATTAATGCGTGAGTTAGTATATCTTTATTAATGCGTGAGTTAGTATATCTTTATTAATGCGTGAGTTAGTATATCTTTATTAATGCGTGAGTTAGTATATCTTTATTAATGTGTGAGTTAGTATATCTTTATTAATGTGTGAGTTAGTATATCTTTATTAATGTGTGAGTTAGAATATCTTTATTAATGCGTGAGTTAGTATATCTTTATTAATGTGTGAGAATATCTATATTAATGTGTGAGTTAGTATATCTTTATTAATGCGTGAGTTAGTATATCTTTATTAATGCGTGAGTTAGTATATCTTTATTAATGTGTGAGTTAGTATATCTTTATTAATGTGTGAGTTAGTATATCTTTATTAATGTGTGAGTTAGAATATCTTTATTAATGTGTGAGTTAGTATATCTTTATTAATGTGTGTGAGTATATCTATATTAATGTGTGAGTTAGTATATCTTTATTAATGCTGTGAGTTAGTATATCTTTATTAATGTGTGAGTTAGTATATCTTTATTAATGTGTGAGTTAGTATATCTTTATTAATGTGTGAGTTAGTATATCTTTATTAATGTGTGAGTTAGTATATCTTTATTATTATGTGTGAGTTAGTATATCTTTATTAATGTGTGAGTTAGTATATCTTTATTAATGTGTGAGTTAGTATATCTTTATTAATGTGTGAGTTAGTATATCTTTATTAATGTGTGAGTTAGTATATCTTTATTAATGCGTGAGTTAGTATATCTTTATTAATGTGTGAGTTAGTATATCTTTATTAATGTGTGAGTTAGTATATCTTTATTAATGTGTGAGTTAGAATATCTTTATTAATGCGTGAGTTAGTATATCTTTATTAATGTGTGAGAATATCTATATTAATGTGTGAGTTAGTATATCTTTATTAATGCGTGAGTTAGTATATCTTTATTAATGCGTGAGTTAGTATATCTTTATTAATGTGTGAGTTAGTATATCTTTATTAATGTGTGAGTTAGTATATCTTTATTAATGTGTGAGTTAGAATATCTTTATTAATGCGTGAGTTAGTATATCTTTATTAATGTGTGAGAATATCTATATTAATGTGTGAGTTAGTATATCTTTATTAATGCGTGAGTTAGTATATCTTTATTAATGTGTGAGTTAGTATATCTTTATTAATGTGTGAGTTAGTATATCTTTATTAATGTGTGAGTTAGTATATATTTATTAATGTGTGAGTTAGTATATCTTTATTAATGTGTGAGTTAGTATATCTTTATTAATGTGTGAGTTAGTATATCTTTATTAATGTGTGAGTTAGTATATCTTTATTAATGTGTGAGTTAGTATATCTTTATTAATGTGTGAGTTAGTATATTTTTATTAATGTGTGAGTTAGTATATCTTTATTATTGTGTGAGTTAGTATATCTTTATTAATGTGTGAGTTAGTATATATTTATTAATGTGTGAGTTAGTATATCTTTATTAATGTGTGAGTTAGTATATCTTTATTAATGTGTGAGTTAGAATATCTTTATGTGTGAGTTAGTATATCTTTATTAATGTGTGAGTTAGTATATCTTTATTAATGTGTGAGTTAGTATATCTTTATTAATGTGTGAGTTAGTATATCTTTATTAATGTGTGAGTTAGTATATCTTTATTAATGTGTGAGTTAGTATATCTTTATTAATGTGTGAGTTAGTATATCTTTATTAATGTGTGAGTTAGTATATCTTTATTAATGTGTGAGTTAGAATATCTTTATTAATGCGTGAGTTAGTATATCTTTATTAATGTGTGAGTTAATATATCTTTATTAATGCGTGAGTTAATATATCTTTATTAATGTGTGAGTTAGTATATCTTTATTAATGTGTGAGTTAGTATATATTTATTAATGTGTGAGTTAGTATATCTTTATTAATGTGTGAGTTAGTATATCTTTATTAATGTGTGAGTTAGTATATCTTTATTAATGTGTGAGTTAGTATATCTTTATTAATGTGTGAGTTAGAATATCTTTATTAATGCGTGAGTTAGTATATCTTTATTAATGTGTGAGTTAGTATATCTTTATATCGGGAGTTAGTATATCTTTATTAATGTGTGAGTTAGAATATCTTTATTAATGCGTGAGTTAGTATATCTTTATTAATGTGTGAGAATATCTATATTAATGTGTGAGTTAGTATATCTTTATTAATGTGTGAGTTAGTATATCTTTATTAATGCGTGAGTTAGTATATCTTTATTAATGCGTGAGTTAATATATCTTTATTAATGTGTGAGTTAGTATATCTTTATTAATGTGTGAGTTAGTATATCTTTATTACTGTGTGAGTTAGTATATCTTTATTAATGTGTGAGTTAGTATATATTTATTAATGTGTGAGTTAGTATATATTTATTAATGTGTGAGTTAGTATATCTTTATTAATGTGTGAGTTAGTATATCTTTATTAATGTGTGAGTTAGTATATCTTTATTAATGTGTGAGTTAGTATATCTTTATTAATGCGTGAGTTAGTATATATTTATTAATGCGTGAGTTAGTATATCTTTAATAATGCGTGAGTTAGTATATCTTTATTAATGTGTGAGTTAGTATATCTTTATTAATGTGTGAGTTAGTATATCTTTATTAATGTGTGAGTTAGTATATATTTATTACTGTGTGAGTTAGTATATATTTATTAATGTGTGAGTTAGTATATCTTTAATAATGTGTGAGTTAGTATATATTTATTATTGTGTGAGTTAGTATATATTTATTATTGTGTGAGTTAGTATATCTTTATTAATGTGTGAGTTAGTATATATTTATTAATGTGTGAGTTAGTATATCTTTATTAATGTGTGAGTTAGTATATCATTATTAATGTGTGAGTTAGTATATCTTTATTAATGTGTGAGTTAGTATATATTTATTAATGTGTGAGTTAGTATATCTTTATTAATGTGTGAGTTAGTATATATTTATTAATGTGTGAGTTAATATATCTTTATTAATGCGTGAGTTAGTATATATTTATTAATGTGTGAGTTAATATATATTTATTAATGTGTGAGTTAGTATATATTTATTAATGTGTGAGTTAATATATCTTTATTAATGCGTGAGTTAGTATATATTTATTAATGTGTGAGGTAATATATATTTATTAATGTGTGAGTTAGTATATATTTATTAATGCGTGAGTTAGTATATATTTATTAATGTGTGAGTTAGTATATATTTATTAATGTGTGAGTTAGTATATCTTTATTAATGTGTGAGTTAGTATATCTTTATTAATGTGTGAGTATATCTTTATTAATGTGTGAGTTAGTATATCTTTATTAATGTGTGAGTTAGTATATCTTTATTAATGTGTGAGTTAGAGTATCTTTATTAATGTGTGAGTTAATATATATTTATTAATGCGTGAGTTAGTATATATTTATTAATGCGTGAGTTAGTATATCTTTATTAATGTGTGAGTTAGTATATCTTTATTAATGTGTGAGTTAGTATATCTTTATTAATGTGTGAGTTAGTATATCTTTATTAATGTGTGAGTTAGTATATCTTTATTAATGTGTGAGTTAGTATATCTTTATTAATGTGTGAGTTAGTATATCTTTATTAATGTGTGAGTTAGTATATCTTTATTAATGTGTGAGTTAGTATATCTTTATTAATGTGTGAGTTAGTATATCTTTATTAATGTGTGAGTTAGTATATCTTTATTAATGTGTGAGTTAGAGTATCTTTATTAATGCGTGAGTTAGTATATCTTTATTAATGCGTGAGTTAGTATATCTTTATTAATGCGTGAGTTAGTATATCTTTATTATTGCGTGAGTTAGTATATCTTTATTAATGCGTGAGTTAGTATATCTTTATTAATGCGTGAGTTAGTATATCTTTATTAATGCGTGAGTTAGTATATCTTTATTAATGCGTGAGTTAGTATATCTTTATTAATGCGTGAGTTAGTATATCTTTATTAATGCGTGAGTTAGTATATCTTTATTAATGCGTGAGTTAGTATATCTTTATTAATGCGTGAGTTAGTATATCTTTATTAATGCGTGAGTTAGTATATCTTTATTAATGCGTGAGTTAGTATATCTTTATTAATGTGTGAGTTAGTATATCTTTTATTAATGCGTGAGTTAGTATATCTTTATTAATGCGTGAGTTAGTATATCTTTATTAATGCGTGAGTTAGTATATCTTTATTAATGCGTGAGTTAGTATATCTTTATTAATGCGTGAGTTAGTATATCTTTATTAATGCGTGAGTTAGTATATCTTTATTAATGTGTGAGTTAGTATATCTTTATTAATGTGTGAGTTAGTATATCTTTATTAATGCATGAGTTAGTATATCTTTATTAATGTGTGAGTTAGTATATCTTTATTAATGCGTGAGTTAGTATATCTTTATTAATGCGTGAGTTAGTATATCTTTATTAATGCGTGAGTTAGTATATCTTTATTAATGCGTGAGTTAGTATATCTTTATTAATGTGTGAGTTAGTATATATTGGCTCTCCTGTCAAATCCGGACGAAGAATAAACAGCCGTGGACGAGTTAGTCAGAGTTCTCTCCCTTGGCCGCACTCCGAACAGTAATCGGAAAACAAACGAAATAAACGACACACTTACCTATCATCCTGCGGTTGCGTGTAGGGCTGCGTACGGTTTCGTGAGGCATTGTGTATGGTTGTGTAATCATCATCATGCGGTTGTTGGGTTACAGTTAGGGTTAGGGTTAGGGTTAGGGGTAGGGTTAGGGTTAGGGTTAGGGGTAGGGTTAGGGTTAGGGGTAGGGTTAGGGTTAGGGTTAGGGTTAGGGGTAGGGTTAGGGGTAGGGTTAGGGGTAGGGTTAGGGTTAGGGGTAGGGTTAGGGTTAGGGTTAGGGGTAGGGTTAGGGGTAGGGTTAGGGGTAGGGGTAGGGTTAGGGTTAGGGTTAGGGTTAGATGTTAAAATTTTGACGTAGGGTTTGGAAATAGTGGCCGACAATCTGATGTTTGTGGGCGTGGCGCCACTGGAATTCTGCTAAATATGACGCCAATAGTGTGCGGCTGGTGCCCAATCGTTGGCGAATTGTGCGTTTCACCAGCATCCAGAGGCCCTCGATTGTTTGTGTGGGACTGTGCGCGATTATAGGGAACTCCGGCGTCAAAATTGTCAAATCTAACGCTACAGCTAACCCTACCGCTAACCCTAATCCTAATCCTACTCCCTAGCCCTAACCCCTACCCCTAACCACGCAAATTTATCGATCATTAAAGCATACAAATCGGCAAAAACCAACAAACACAACACACCCACAAAAAAAAACCTAGAATTGTCCTGCAGCGTCGAAAAAAAAACCCAGATCTGGGGGAAACAACCAAGCATTGGCAGCCCTGATGTCGACGTGACTGTCTTCTTTGTTTCGTTGGCTTTTCCGATCACTGTTCGCAGTGCGGCAAAGGGAGAGAACTCTGACTAAGTCGTCCAAGGCTTTTTAGTCGTCGTCCGGATTTGACAGGAGTACCGTATATATTTATTAATGTGTGAGTTAGTATATTTTTTTTAATGTGTGAGTTAGTATATATTTATGAATGTGTGAGTGTGTTTTGTGAAAAAATGTGTTTATATCAATGTATAATGTATTACGGTGTGTATGTTATAATGTAGGTATGTGTGTATGTTTGAGTGTATGTAAATATATGGATATGCATGTATGTGTGTATGTATGCATGTGTGCATGCTTGATACGTATGTACACTTAAATGTATGCATTTACCATCCATGTTTTTGTGTATTTTCGCAGTATGTATATTGTTTTATGAACACAGCAGACAGACAAAATACAATCGCAGTATGAAAGACGAGTGTTTGGAAGGGCCAACAAACCCAAATTTTGACCCATCGAAGAAAAGTTTGTTTGTTTATTTCCAAACAATTGCAGAATGTTAAGCAGGTGAGGGGGGGGGGGGGGGTGCACTGTGGTCACATAGTGGCTAGCATGGCTGGCTGACAGCTGATTGTTATGTTTTAGATTGACCTAACCTAAAGTGATATCAGTTGTTGCTCCGAGAGGTAAAGTGGTCAACGTAATACTGGTCACATCATTCCCTGAGTGCTGATTGGCTCTTACAAATATGGGGCTAGGAACGTATACCTCATGTCCTGTAAACATGTTCTTTACTTCTGATTGGGCCTCTGAGGTCAATTCAGACTCACCAACCGAGATCATCTGAAGAAGTATTTTAGGAAAGGAAAGGTAGAAAGGATAGGAAAGGTGGAATGGAAAAGAAAGGTGGAAAGTAAAGGTAGAATGGAAAGTAAAGGTGGAAAGGAAAGGTAGAATGGAAAGGAAAGGTGAAAAGGAAAGGTGGAATGGAAAGGAAAGGTAGAATGGAAAGGAAATGTGGAAAAGAAAGGTGGAATGGAAAGGAAAGGTAGAATGGAAAGGAAAGGTGGAATGGAAATGAACGGTAGAATGAAAAGCAAAGGTGGAAAGGAAAGGTTGAATGGAAAGGAAAGGTGGAAAGGAAAGGTAGAATGGAAAGGAAAGGTGGAAAGAAAAGGTGGAATGAAAAGGAAAGGTGGAATGGAAAGGAAAGGTTGAATGGAAAGGAAAGGTAGAAAGGAAAGGTAGAATGGAAAGGAAAGGTGGAAAGGAAAGGTAGAATGGAAAGAAAAGGTAAACAGGAAAGGTAGAATGGAAAGGAAAGGTAGAATGGAAAGGAAAGGTGGAAAGGAAAGGTAAAAAGGAAAGGAAAGGTAAAAAGGAAAAGAAAGGTAGAATGGAAAGGAAAGGTAGAATGGACAGGAAAGGTAGAATGGAAAGGAAAGGTAGAAAGGAAAGTTAGAATGGAAAGGAAAGGTAGAATGGAATGGAAAGGAAAGGTAGAATGGAAAGGAAATGTGGAAAAGAAAGGTGGAATGGAAAGGAAAGGTAGAATGGAAAGGAAAGGTAGAAAGGAAAGGTAGAATGGAAAGGAAAGGTGGAAAATGAAAGGTAAAAAGGAAAGGAAAGGTAAAAAGGAAAGGAAAGGTAAAAAGGAAAGGAAAGGTAGAATGGAAAGGAAAGATAGAATGGACAGGAAAAATAGAATGGAAAGGAAAGGTAGAAAGGAAAGTTAGAATGGAAAGGAAAGGTAAAATGGAAAGGGATTGACCATCCCACCTCATAATGCTGTCACCTAAAATATATGGTTAACACTTTTAAAACTCTTCCTTTACTACTATTACTTTACATTAATCAAGTATTTCAAACAAAACAATAATTAATCGAAAAGTTAAAAAAAAAGGTTAAGGACCCTTTTCCACGACTTCAGGCGTATTGGGCACATAGGGCTAAATCTATATTTTATAGTCCAGTCTGCACTTGGGGGAAGGGGGGGGGGCTGATGTAGTCAACATCATACCAACTGCCTTTGCTTCCCAGGACTCCACGTACCAATTAAAGCTGGGCCAACTAAAGAGCCAAAGACACTCTTGAAAAAAGTCTGGCTTTGTTAGGATCCAAACTCATTACCTCCCAATCCTCGTGGAAACATCTAGCCGCTACACCACATCCCTTCCCAGGATTTAATCATTCTATTTAAAACAATAAAAACTGTAATTACTTTATCCATCTCTTGCTTTGTATGCTTCTTTTCTCTCTCTTTCTTTGAACCCAATCTCAAGTATTCTCTACCAGTCAGTGTTGTTTCTGTTGTGATTTTAGCCTGAAGTTTAGTCAAAATGCCTGACTGCAATCTCTCAATGTTGATACTGAAGGGCAGGTACTCTTGTAATGAAATTTGCTCAAGAGTTGTCCCAATTTGTTCATAAAATGGCTGTAAAGTATTTAAATAAGTTTGTCAATTGATTAATTTTTTCTTAAATACAAGGGTTTTTAAATACAGTAGTTATAGATACACAACAAAATTGCCCAGATGTGCAGAACTGCTAGAGATTCATCAGATTAAATGTATCAAAAAAGTTCATCTGGAAATAAAACACAACATGAAAGAAGTGAATAAATACATATTATGATTCTCTCTCTCTTTCTCTCTCTCTCTCTCTCTCTCTCTCTCTCTCTCTCTCTCTCTCTCTCTCTCTCTCTCTCTCTCTCTCTCTTTCTGTCACATTCACAGACACACTTTACTGCTTGCACGCACGCACACACACACAATGATTGCTATAGATATGGTTGTATCAGAGGTAAAGAAATTATGGAGTCCCAAAAACCACACCACCTGGCATTAGATCAACGATGTGATCAACAATATACCAGCAGTATTTACTTCCCAGAAAAATGCACTCTGTATGTCTGTTGTGCTTTGGTTTTATTTTGACATACAAACATGGCTGGATTTACACCTGCTAAGGCCCTAAGATATTTAAAACCCTGGGGCCCCTATCATTTTAAATGGCTACACCTACATTTATCTTCTTGGAGCTGATAAGAGTAACAATGGCAGATGTTCATCTTAAAATGACTTTTTGTCCACTTAAAGAAATTTGTTTAAATTGTGTCTATTGAGACATGGAGTTATAGACATTTGTGTTGTAGGCTATGCAACCAGTATTTACAGGCCACTGACTAGACACTGCACCTTTTGTACCTACCCTGTCTGATGTGTATCACAGACTCTTGTGTGAGAGTGTAGACATAAGACAGCATGATGTTTGGAATGCATGGGAAAGAATCAATAACATATGATACACTGCATTTGACTGATGGAGTGAAAGTAACAACTGTCATTGATTAGATAAATAAATGAGTTCCACATAAATTACCTACCTCATTTAACAAGCTCTGTCTCCAGCCGGCCATGTAGCTGTCATAATCCACCACCTCTCTTGTGTTAGGAGTGTAGAGAGGGCTGCTAGGGAAAACGGGTGTACTAGGAAGATGAGTCATTGTTTCTTTTAGTCTTAGCAGTCCATGTTTTTTAATAATTCCCAGTCTGAAACAGGAAGTAGGTCAGTTAAAATTGCTTAACCCATTCAACAGCAATCAAGGCTGTTTCATTTGTTCATTGTCTTTTTCATATATCCCATCTTCAGGATTTTTTTCTTGCTGTGTGCAACACGGGCACATTTTTTTTTTTAAAGGAATCTTGTTTTTTTTCAGTGCTACTGTAATAGACATTTTGTGGTGCATAAAGGCACCTGTTTAAGACACTTTGTAATAAAAAGTGAATTCTGAAACACGACCATATTCTAGAAACAGATGAACAGCCAGAACTTTCCCCTAGAGTTTACAGCCGGTGAATGCTAAAAAGAAAATAAATCTTTTTTTTTTTTAAAGCATTCAGGAGGTGAAACGGTTAATAACTAAAAGACAGTGGCTAAATAAAACCAAAAAAAAAAGTTCTAATTATTTCTCTGTGTTTATTTCTTCCTTGGGCCTCTCCTACCAAATATTTCCAGGTTGCAAGAATTAGCAAAGGTATTAAAACGTCCCAAATAATTAACAGTTGTGTGCTTAAATTATCATACATTGGTTAGCACATAGTGTATCAGTAAGTTTTTTTTTTTAAAGTAAAGGACCCTTTTCCATGCCATTAAGCATATAGGGCATATAGGGCTAGTCCTATATTTCATAGACCAATTGGCACAAGATGGGTCATGTGGTCAGCATTATGCCAACCGCCTTTACTTCCTGGGACTGCTCCCAGTACCTATTCAAGGCTGGGTCGACCTGTGAACCAAGGTCATTTTTTTTAAAAGTCCGGCTTCAACAGGGAGCGAACCCACGACCTTTCGATCCGCGGCAAGAATTAAGCATCTACAGTACTGCCATATTAAACAACAGACAGGAGATAGCAAAGGGCGAAAATGTGTCTTACCTTTTACGGGTGAGGTGTCCTCTAACATATTTTTGTACGATGTGAACCGGAGAGTGCCTGGCTAAGACTGAGTTGACTCTGGCAATCAATGAATGAAACACGCACAACTCTTGAGGGTAAGTCAAGTCCTGTAAATAGTTTTAAAGTCCTGCCAAATTTAAGAAACACTGTAAACCATTGCTGGATCTAATTTAATACGTTAATCGTTATCATTTTTTTTTAGGTCTGCACACAACAAATCTGTAAAATGGATGTGCACACAAAGCTATACACTTGGAACTAGACCAAAGTCCAGAGGTGGACAAACAACAAGGACTTCCGGTGGAGTTTACAGTTGTGAATATGAAGAAAAAGAAAATATTAATTAATGTTACATTAAAATCATATCTGTCACCTATGGAAAACATATGTTGATGTGTAATAGCATGAGATGGGGCAATCAGTCATATGCCAATCTGTTATTCTGCTGTAGAAAACATATGTAGATGTGTAATAGCATGAGATAGGGCAATCAGTCATATGCCAATCTGTTATTCTGCTGTAGAAAACATATGTTGATGTGTAATAGCATGAGATAGGGCAATCAGTCATATGCCAATCTGTTAGTCTGCTGTAGACAACATATGCAGATGTGTAATGGGATGAGATGGGGTAATCAGTCATATGCCAATCTGTTAGTCTGCCGCAGAAAACATATGTTGATGTGTAATAGCATGAGATGGGGCAATCAGTCATATGCCAATCTGTCAGTCTGTTGTAGAAAACATATAGATGTGTAATGGGATGAGAACAACGTCTAGCTTGTCATACATCAGTTCACCACCAAGTGGTGCAGAACCAGCCAGTCTATCTGCCTGTTCATTTCCTGGAGAGAATATCCAAAGGATACTAACTACCAGGGACCTCTGAAGCGATGCTTGCCACTCTGCTTGAAGCATACCTGTCTTCACCTTTTTCAACATGCTCTGTGAGTCAGTAACAATCACAGCATGTGTGTACAGCTGATTCTCAAGCCAGTGGAAGGCAGCAGTGACTGCCTCCACCTCCATTCTTAGACTAGACATTGTGATATCATATGCCAGGATTTGTTGCACTAACTGACGTCCATTCGCCTTTGCTATAAACCCCCATGCACTTTGTCTGCCCCTAAACACAGAGTCATCTGTTTAGATAATCACATCACTTGGGCAGGTTTTGTTTAGGCTCTCTTCCTGAAATTTATTAATGAGATATACAGCTGCTGAACCATAATAGTCATGCACCAGGACCAGGGCACAAGCTGGTCCAGCCCTGCCTCCACCTCTCTGCGGTCAACCTAAAATCAGGTTTCCATTTGGGGGCCTGGCCATTGAAAATAGGATCGGCATTTCATTCAAAGTCTGAGTAAATCTGCAAGGAGCCGAATGTCTGCACAAAAATAGGTCAGATCTGTGAAATGGATGTGCATGTAAAACTCAAGACTTGGAACAAGACCAAATTCCAGAAGTGGACAAACAACCAGAACTCTCTCTAGAGTTTACAGCTATGATGCAAAGAAAACAAATTAATTAATGTCACATTAATTAGTATGAGTAATCAGTAACAATAATCAGTATGAGCAATCAGTAACATTAATCAGTACGAGCAATCAGTAACACTAATCAGTATGAGTCTCTGCCAATTGTTCTGTCTGATGTTTGTATTATGTTAACTCTTTAAGGCTGAAAGATTGATACCCTAAAGTACTCAAGATTTAGGACTGACAGTGTTGATGAAGAAAGAACTGATTGGGACAGCAAGAGTTACCAATAACTCTTCAAGGTACAGTGGGTTCCAAACATTACTAACTAAACTTACGGTAGATGTTTTAGGGCAGAGATCTACTCTGAATGCAGGACTTAGAGCAGCAAATTGGGCATATCGGAACACAGCATCTTCAATAATCTCCTCGTCTGAGATCACATGCATGTCTAAAGCCTTCAGTGTCCAGATTGTGTTCACCACATGATGCCTAATTAAATATTAGGTTAAAATAGTGAATAGTTGTAACATTATTAGATGCAATCTGGCAATGGTTAGTTCAACAGTATCTTCAATCATTCCTAATGGTGAAAGAACAAGCAGTATTTACGTGACATGAAAGTATTGTATACAATGTCCTTTGCAGAAAGTCATTCTTATCACGGTCTGTCTGAAAGAAACTCAGTCTCTCGTTAGCTCTCCCACCTCATGCATTTTAATATACAAGGAGTCACTTATGTCTTGTGCCCATCTTCACGCTATTATTTTTTTCCAATCTGCCAGGTGGCGCTTGTTTTAGCCAAAATATTTCAGCTTCCAAGACAAGATGCTATTTTTTAGTCAATCTTCCTTGATGGTTCTCATATTTTAGAATGTATTTCTTATCTCCTTGTCCAAAAACATCGTTAACCCAAACTCCAAGGCATTTAAAAAAATTAACAGTTCATGTTAAAAAAATTCATTCTAGCCAGGGACTGTTAGCTGTGTTATGAATAATACATCATTGCTAGGACCAAAGGTTTATTTATGTTAACTCAGCGTTCATCTTAAGCGAGTTCATGTTACGAGGTTTTACTTATGTAGAAATTTACAACCAGTTCAGCTCCGTGGCTGAAAGGTTAGTGAATGTGTTTAACAATGCCATGATCCTCGAGCACTAGGGTTTGATTTGTGCCGCGCATGGTTTAAGAAAAAACCCATTCCCAGAGCTTTTTGACAGAAGTACGAGAGTTTCACCATGGAAAAGACTAGAGACTCAACATGTAAAATTCTCAAAGATAGAAATGGTATACTGTAGCCAACCTTTGTTACAGGGATGGCACACACTTTAAATGTTAATATTTGCAACCTTCATTTATTATACATCCTTTCATACTTTATCATAACTGATTACACATTTTAGTAATTGCCATCATTTCTGGTCTTTTAAATCATCCATTCAAACCATCTCAATGCTTATTCATCGTATTTTCATAATTTCAAATACATTATTCAAAAAAATTTAATTACACTAAATCAGATAGTGCATTTCAAGAGACATATGTGTATGTATGTCTATGCACCATATTAATGCCTTGTGGGAGAGTGTGTACAGTTCAGAGGAGCAGATGGATCACCACAGTCTGGTGAGATTAATGCAGTTGGGGGTGACGAGAGGTTCTGGCAGATGCACGGGGCTCAGAGGAAAGGCAAGATGTACGTTTAATCAGAATGCTACTGGCACCATTAGTATCGGAACTCTTCGCTGGCTGCTGAAGATGGGGACGGGGCGCTTATGGGAATGCCCCGAGTGCTGTGATGTCGGTTCTTGAATCAGATCAATCATGTACCATACTCCTCATCACTGTCAAAACTCTCATCCATATAGTTCTTTAGCTTGTCCTCATCAAAGATATTCTGACAGTTTGCAAGCATCTTTTGGGCAAAGTATGTGCGCATGCATAGCCTATTGCGTTTCATGAACCTGGAACAACCACTTGTGCCCTCCTTTCATCAGTTCTCGTTATGCCTAGTGGCACATGAGGCTTCAGAGAGGACTTTCCATGCTTTCCTGTCCTGTGCAATCTTCAGTGCAGTTTTCCATGTCAAAGATGCCGCACTCAGGTCACTTTCCATTGTTCTTCTCCATGTTGTTTTTGGGAGCCCCTGTTTTCTCTTTCCTTCTGGTGTCCATGTGAGAGCTGTTTTGGCAGGTATATCAGGATTCATTCTCATAACGTGGCCAAGCCATTTCCATCTTCTCTTGGTTATCACATTGTCTAAAGTTTCTTGGTTTGTGACCTCAAGTAGTTTAGTGTTTGAGATTGTATCCGGCCAGAAAATTTTGATAATTCTACATAGACATGTGTGTGTGCCCTCCTTTGAAATCAGTAATTTCTTTTTCAGCAGCAATCTTGCCTCATGCCGAACCATCTTAGTGTGGACACAGAAATTCTAATTGCTCTCTAATCGGTTCCTTTAATTCCCTCTCCAAAGCAGGCATTTTTGCTGCTTGCCTCTCATGGTGGCCTTTTTCTTCCTTGGCATCTTCAGTGAGATTTCTTCCTCCAGCAGCCAGTTTTGGATTGTTTTCTCAGTTGCAGGAGGACCAAATTTGCGTTCTGTAGCTAGATTTCTCTTTACTTTTTACAAATTTGATAATTTTTAACTAGCTTTCATTACTGTATGAAAATCTTCTCTGAGACATTTATGGGCAAAATGTAACCTAATGTAACAACTGTGAAACAATGAGCATGAAGACAAGCGCACAAACTATTACAATAGAATTGCATTTTAAATTTTACAATTTTTAAAACAAACCTACAAGGGATATTTTCTAACAGATCATTTGGTAAAAATCTATAACCATTGGATAACTATAGGTTTTTTGTTTGTTTAAATGCATATTTGTGCACGTGCATGGGTGTGTGTGTGTGTGTGTGGACGTGCATGGGTGTGTGTGTGCGTGTTGTACTCACAAATAAGTGCTCATTAACACTAACCTGTAGTTCTTCTTTAAGGAAAGAGGCGTGTCATATAATGTCAGAACTGACAGGCAAGGGGAGGAGCCAAGTGCTTGCAGAGATTCAAATTTTGCCAATGGGTTATCATGAAGATGAAGTACCTGAAGTTTGTCCAGACTTCTCCAGAAAGAACAGCCAGGTACTGATGCCAGCTTGTAAAATAAAAAAATAATTGAATTGAAAAAGCTGGCAATTCATTAAAATCTCTTTTTGAAAGGTTATTATTAGCATGTCACCTTAAAGTAATAAATAGCAAAATATATTTGATAATTAAATCATGATTTTGACTTCTTCTTCTTCTTCTTCTTCTTCTTCTCTTCCACCTTGTACCTCATCAAAGTGTTGGGGGGGGGAGATGTAATGTTCGTTGATAAGCTTTGTCATGAGCACTATTGAGACTGATGTTCATTTCTGTAAGGCTGTTCTTAATGCCATCACTCCATATTTTCCAAGGTCTTCCACTCGCTCTATACCCGTTGTAACGTTTTAGTGTGGCTCGCTGTGGCGGATAGTACCAGGGCATTCTTGTTAGGTGTCCAAACCACTTCATTTGTTGTTCTTTGAAGACCTGTAAGACTGGCTTTATATCTAGCATTCGTCTGATTTCATGATTTCGTATTCTGTCTTTCCTTGAAACTCCGGCAGCTCTTCTAAGGCATTTCGTCTCTGTTGTCACAATTTTACGTTCATTGGAGGATGTAAGTATCCACATTTGGCATTGATAGCATATGATTTTGACAAAATGATTAAACCATTATTATTTTTGTATTTATCCTATTCAGAAATTAAAATAAATAAAAGACTTTTTTTAAGACATGAGGCACAGGCAAATGATGTTAGGCTTATATTTTTATAGACCAATCAGCACCCAGTGGGTGATACGGTCAACATCCTGGCAGCCATCTTTACTTCCTATTTTAGGTGGGGTCGACCTGAGATTCAAGTGGTTTTTCTTTTTTTTTTCAATTTGGCTCGATGTACTTGAACCCAAGATCTTTAGGCTGGCAGGAAAGCATCTAACCCCTGTGCCACTGCACACTGATTAACAAGAAAGATATATCATGCAAATATTAGGATCATTTCATATAACTGATGTTATATGATGCCAACAATACATTAAAGAAATAGTGAAGTCAATATTTGTCTAAAACTGCATATATTCTAATAAAAACAATTTGTTAATACTTGAAAGTAATAACTATTTAGGCAGGAAATTTAAGTGAGAAAGAAGCAGTAACAGTCTGGACAGGGGAGCCAACATAACAAATGTTTGTGTAAGGAAGTAAAATAAGAATTGCATGTGTAAAGAACTAAAATAGCTATAGAGTAAATTAGGACGTACAAGAGAAACCCTAATGTGAATGTCGGTGACAGAAGCCAAAGATACTGGATTGGATTCCATCCATGATATCAAAGTGATTGTACAGGACAGAACAGGATGGAGAAATAGATTGTGAGCCCTGTGTGGCATATACTGTCTGAATAGGAAAATGAATGAATAAATGAATGAACAAATGAATGAATGAAAAATTGAAGAAATGAATGAATAAATTAATTAATTAATAATTTAACTAATGAATGAATGAACAATTGAAGAAATTAAGAAATGAATGAATTAATGAATGAATAAATGAATGAATGAATGAATGAATGAATGAAAAAACTGCTAAAGCTTGAAGTAAGAAGTGTAAGAAGTTAAAGTATAATTTATCTGTGCACAAAGCTAAAGTAGCAAATTTATGTACAAAAAAGCCAAAGCAACAACTATCTGTGTAAGGAGCTAAGAAGTATTTGCTTGAAGAAGAAGTATTGAATAGATATGTACAAAAAAGCCAAAGCAACAACTATCTGTTTAAGGAGCTAAGAAGTATTTGCTTAAAGAAGAAGTACTTTATCTTGGGTTCAGCTAGGAGCACAGGTCAATGTTTACATTCTGTTGCAATGGCTGGGGCTGAAGGGGAGTTAAATCTTCCAGTCAACCAACCTGATTAGAATGGACATCCAACCTAATGAGCTGCGTGCAGGAAACAAGGGCGTCAATTTTTGTGAGGAAATTATTGGCCAGTAAGCAAATTGTTAGTGACGTGCACATTCTAATGTCTCCTAGCACTCGAAGGTGAACATCACAGAGCTGAATCAGTCGAAAGTCTGCCAGATTTTTCCGATCAGGGTTCTGCACTTGACATTGAAGTAATAATGTCTCTTCTGTTGGGTTGAAGAAAAACCTGAATAACAGAAAAGAAAAAAATTATGGTTAGAATTAAATTGCAAACAAACAATGGAAAGTATGCAAGGATGGTCACTTTTACATAGACAAGAATACCCCAATGTAAGATCAAAGTTTATTTATGTCCACATCATGTCATGGTTGACACATAAAACATTCACAACTGATCTTCACTGCTGCTAATCTGCTGCTTTTCTGCTTATGGCATCACATGTCAAAAATTTCTGAATTTCCCTCTCTGCTGTTCTTTTCCGGGTTTCCTTATGTCGCGCAAATATCCTTTTCTCTTCTGCCGTCCATTGGAGAGCTGTCTTTGCTAAATGTGGTGAGGCATTCTGCAAACATGTCCAAGCTTTCTCCGTATTTCTTCCTTTGATAAACTTGCCAGTGACCGACATTTTGTTTCCTCTTTATTTCTTCATTTGTGATCTCGTTTCACTGACACTCAAAACTCAGGGGAAAGGCTTGAGGTTTGAGGTTTTGAACAATGGATCAACATCATGACACACCTGTAGCATCCCATAAGTGCTCCTATCTTCTTCTAACTCAAGTCTGTCCGAAGAAGCTCAGCACAATGCACAGGCTCCGTAGCACCGGTGAGGATCCTGAAATACTTTAGGTAGATTTTTAACTCAAAATTTTTCCCAGGCAGCGTTGTTAGTCTACTCTTATTGATTTCCAAGGACTGCCAAGGGAATTTTTATGTGTGCAACAATACACACGGGCGTCCAATGTTACTACCCAGACACTAGGGGGAATTACTAGACGCCCAAGTCCACGTGAAAAAATCCCAGCCCTTACCAAGGATTGAACCCCGAACCTCTAGCACTCAAGGTGGACAACATGCCTTGAGACCACACAGCCCCCTAGGGGAAAGGCAAGATGGACATACTGTCAGAACACTACTTCAACCACTGGACCAGGAAGGCTTGTGCCAGCTACTGAAGATAGGGAAAGAGTGCTTATGGAAATGTCACAAGTGTTGTGATGTCAGTTCTAAATTAAACTAAACTCAAACAAACAAAATAAAGCCCTAGATGGAAAGAAGAACAAATAAAACATTTTGTAAAATAAAAAGAGAAACACAGACTTAATTGAAGACTGACTAATGTGAGAGATCACAAACTTAACTGAAGACTGTCTAATGTGAGAGATCACAGACTTAACTGAAGACTGATTATTGTGAGAGATCACAGACTTAACTAAAGACTGTCTAATGTGAGAGATCACAGTCTTAACTGAAGACTGACTAATGTGAGAGATCACAGACTTAACTAAAGACTGACTAATGTGAGAGATCACAGTCTTAACTGAAGACTGACTAATGTGAGAGATCACAGACTTAACTGAAGACTGACTAATGTGAGAGATCACAGACTTAACTGAAGACTGACTAATGTGAGAGATCACAGACTTAACTAAAGACTGACTAATGTGAGAGATCACAGACTTAACTGAAGACTGACTAATGTGAGAGATCACAGACTTAACTAAAGACTGTCTAATGTGACAGATCACAGACTTAACTGAAGACTGACTAATGTGAGAGATCACAGACTTAACTAAAGACTGTCTAATGTGAGAGATCACAGACTTAACTGAAGACTGACTAATGTGAGAGATCACAGACTTAACTGAAGACTGACTAATATGAGAGATCACAGACTTAACTGAAGACTGACTAATGTGAGAGATCACAGACTTAACTGAAGACTGTCTAATGTGAGAGATCACAGACTTAACTAAAGACTGACTAATGTGAGAGATCACAGACTTAACTAAAGACTGTCTAATGTGAGAGATCACAGACTTAACTAAAGACTGACTAATGTGAGAGATCACAGTCTTAACTGAAGACTGACTAATGTGAGAGATCACAGACTTAACTGAAGACTGACTAATGTCAGAGATCACAGACTCAACTGAAGACTGACTAATGTGAGAGATCACAGACTTAATTAAAGACTGTCTAATGTGAGAGATCACATACTTAATTAAAGACTGTCTAATGTGAGAGATCACAGACTTAACTGAAGACCGACTAATGTGAGAGATCATAAAACATGACTGAGCGCACTTATCAGTATGGTATGTGATGATTATATAAATCAGTCATAATCATCATCATTGTCCTGTTATGACATTTTATGTTACAAAGATCTGGCAGTCTGCTCCTCCATTTATTTCTATCCTGAGAAATCCCTTCAGTATCATGGATGAAATCCAGTTCAGCATCCTTGGCCTCTCTCATCAACATCTGTTTAAGATTTTCTCACTTGAAACCATCTGAGTGTTTGCTGATTCTCTGCTGGGATGGAGCCTGTCTGGGAATGTTCTGATGTCAGTTCTCAATTTACTCATTCAAACTTGCCATTCTTACTTTCCTGCATATTTCTTGGTACCTGCACTGGGGATTTAAACCAATGACCACCAGGAACTCAGGCAAGAAAACAACAGCAAAATAAAATAATAAATGTTAACAAAATTATAACATTACCCATTTTCTTCTGCTTGCTTGATTATATCTGCATCCCTTTGTTGATAAAATTTACTGAGAAAACTTCCAGTATCTCTTTTTGTTCTTACAGCCATATCAGCAAATGTGGGTAGCTCAACTTGCTGACTGAAGCAGTCTGCTAGTTTTAAGTCACCTGGGAGAATTCAAAGCAGAAGAGGAAGAGATTGGTGGGGGGACAAACCATTAGACTTTTTTCGTGCCAGTAATCAATCGAAATGCATATGATGCCAGATTCATTTCTTCTTCTTCTTCTCTCTATTCCTGGAATGCCTCGCAGCATCAGGGCAGGAATAGATCTCTGGAACAGGCTCTTCTATTTCCTCCATAAATAGAACTTTTCAGTGTCTCCGGTATTTCTTGCAGTCTATTTTCTGCATGGTCGACTTCTGGCGCTGTTACCATTGTATCTATATAACATGCTCTCTGTGGTGCCCTGTCTGATGCAGGTTTTGTTACATGGCCAAACCATCTGATATATCACTCTTGAAATCCTTCATTCCCTGAAAGCTAAAGTCATGTTTTTTTTTTGTTTTTTTACATCAATTTTTGTGTGGATTTAAACACAAGACATTTGGGACTGCAGGCAAGCATCTAGTCACTACACTACCACAGCCTCCTAAAGCAAAAGTAGGACTACCTAAATGTTAACTAAAATATGTATCACAAAACATGTCTTAATGCCTAGCTGAGTAGTTAGTTGTTCTTCCCCCCACCCCCAACTGATATCCATATTTTCTGCACAATGTTTTCAATTACCCAGTCAATACAAATGCCAAACAACATCATCATCAAGTGCCTTGGCAGCTAGTGTAGGCGTTCATCCATCTTCACAGATCTCAGTCTTTGGTGTTCTGGATCAATTCCACTGATGATATTCCTCCATGTCACTGTCTTAAGCCATCCACTATCTTTCTCTTGGTCTGCCTCTTCTACCAGTGATCTTTCCAGTCGTCACGAATAACAGAGGTGATAAAATACATCCCTGTTACACACCAAATAGGGTAATTCTGAAACTGGTGAATTATACAACTGACTTGGAACGGTCACAGCATCTGATGTAAGATGCCTAGTACAGATTAGAATAAGAATTTCCATGGCTAATGTAGCTCAAGTAAGATGAAAATCATTCACTAATAAAACAGATTTTAATTGCCGTGAGAAAAGAATTAAACTGCTCATTAAAACCTTTATTGTTGTATGCATATAAAATAAGCAACAAGAAAATAATTACTGAAAGCGGGGGGTTGTTTTAGTTATATGGCATAATGGATAGACAAGAACACAGACATGATTTGTGTGAGATTTGGAAGTATAATCACACTATAATGGTGACAATAAGGATGATGGTAATGTAATAAAATTTGTGTATATCTATCTGTGCATCTGAACAAAAAACTAAGTTAACTATTGAATCTTTCATAAAATGTATAAAAATAATGAGATGATGAAGTTCATGATGATAAATACTAATAGTACAAGTTTAGGCTGTCCTATGAATAACGGTCCCAATAATCGAGGCGGAAAATATACCCTAACAGGGCCTCAGTCACGTGTCAATTTTGGACTTTTGGGGACTATAACGTCACGGCCGAATTGCAAACTTTTGGGGACTATACCGCCACCGTTAAGAGTATCCCACACGCCGCTCGCGCGGCGTGGATTGGGGTTAAACTAGATGGCTAGGACTCATGAGCAAATAAAATTAAGGAAGCTGCAGGAGATGCGGTAGCTGCTGCTCGTAAGTCCCAGCCATCTAGTTTAGCCCCAATCCACGCCGCGTGAGCGGCGTGGGGGATACTCTCAGTGGTGGCGGAAGTCGCCGGAAGTGCACAATTTAAGACAACGTAAGTGCGCAACTGACACATGACTGAGGCTCTTTTAGGGTATATTTTCCGCCTAGATAATTTAGGATTGTTATTCAGAGGATAGCCTAAGTTTATTATTTGTAGAACTTACATTTCATTCCACTACGTTTTCGGGAAATTATTCCGTCCAAAAGATACATAATGATTAACAAGCATATATTCACAACTATTATAATTAGGCCCACATCAGATACGACTCAATACAACAAGACCCCCGTGTGGGTTTCTGGGGCCCTACTATGGGAAAAACTAGAATAGACCCACTGCCTACCCAAAAGCATGTCGTAAGAGTCGACTAATTGGGAGCTTCCTTCGAAGTCGGAGTGCATCTGTCTGAGAGGCAAGGAACCAACAGTCTGTATACAGATCTGTCAAACGGATGCAAATGCAACACTCAGGTTCTGGAACAGCTGCAGTGCAAAAGTGGACGAACAACCAGAACTTTTCACCGGAGTTTACACCCGGTGAACGCGAAGAAGAAGAAGAATACAACAAAACATACAAAACTTCTTTCTGCAGTCGCAATCAGAATTTCTTCAAAGCTTCTCACAATAAAGAAAAACAGTACTACAGATCGTCACAGTCACATCTGTGCTGAAAAAGACCAGAAAATATAAACTATCATCATTGGCACAACAACGACGAGAACCAGAAAATAAGACATACAAATTAAATGACTATGATTATCAAATGGCTACATACCGATAATTAAATATAAATTAAGTATATCTGTATATACTATTTACAAATTATTCTCTACTGTTGTGAACGGCGTGAATTGAATTGAAGACACGGCAAAAGTGTTGATAGCTCTGCATGACGCACTTTAGCTTGCCGCTGAGTACAGTTTGTGTATGTTTTGTTATTTATAAACAACGTATGTTCGTATAAATTAAATTACTAAGAAATCTGACAAATGAAAAAAAATTATACACGAAGATTAAATTGGGGGAAAATAGAAAAACAAGGGAAAAAAAACCATTCCGCAGATAACTAAAAACATCTCCATAGCAACAAGGGTTGTAACTGTGTTTCAGGTTCAATAACTATTATGAGTTGTGATTTAGGTTATCTTTACGGCACTCCAGACATGTCCTGGATAGGTGCTCAGATTCCCCCTTTAACATATACATCAGCGTCCCGCGGTTGATAGTCCCAGTCCTGTGTTAATTAACAAGACTTCTCGTGCGTCCGGTGTGCTTCTCGTGCCTGGCTGTGCTGATCTTCACTCCCAGTTCTTGCAATCGTAGCAACGATGTGGATGTGCTGCTCCCAAAATTCTCCGATGTGTTCATTAAGCCCCACCCTGGCCATCATCATCATCATGTAGCAGGTCCTTTGCATAACGTCCCTCTCATCACAGTCTGCCTGAAAGAAACTCGGTCTATCGCCAGTTCTCCCGCCTTATGTACTTTTATACTCAAGGAGTCACTTTTATCCTGTGCCCATCCTCGTGTCTGTCGGCCCCTGCTCTCCTTCCTGGTACCATGCCTTCTGCTATATTTTTTCCAGTCATCATTGGCACAACAACGACGAGAACCAGTAAATAAGACACACAAATTAACTGACTATGATTATCAGATGGCTACATACCCCCATGGGTAGGTGCCTTAAATATGGCCTTAAGGGTGAACGGGGTTTCCGGGACATCTCTCACGGGTGATCCTCATCCGTACGGTTGCACTTTGTGTCATCTGGTGTTTATGGCTCGAATCATTACAGAAGTCCACTGTGCGTGGAGTCACCTTTATTTTTGTTCCGCAGGCGTCGATGGAAATGAAAGAGCAGACATGTTGGCTGGATCCGCTATCACTACCGACGGTCAGCCTATGGATCATGCTGATATTATCAATGCCCTCAGAGAAATGGGAAGGATAGAGAATTTGGTGGCAGTGAATCCACATCACTCGCCAGAATGGCAGACTTGGGAATTAAGATCGGCATAGCAAAAAACGAGACACGCCAGAAGACTTGTTAATCAATATAGAACTAGTACTATTAGCCATCGGACGTTGGGGTTCATACTGAGGGGAGGATCTGAGCACCTATGGACATGTCCGGAGTGCAATGATGATAACTCAACTAACAAACTAACTAACTAACTAACCAACTAACTAACTAACTAACTAACTAACTAACTAACTAATATTCAATCTTCACAGACAATAATATTTAGTTATCTTCACAAACAACAATATTTAGGTATCTTCACAGACAACAATATTCAGTTATCTTCACAGACAACAATATTCATTTATCTTCACAAACAACAATAAATCAGTTATCTTCACAAACAACAATAAATCAGTTATCTTCACAAACAACAATAAATCAGTTATCTTCACAAACAATAATAAATCAGTTATCTTCACAGACATTACCATATCACTACCAAGAGGAATGTTGCTATCAAAAATGTTATAATCTCTGCTTATATAATAAACACCTGTGAATCGTAACCATGGAATCAGCTCAGAAATAACATTTAAACATCAGAATGCAGATGTAATTGTTGTCTTTTGTTCCAAAGAGATGTTACATTACCGCGCTGTATCCGATATTCATTTCTAAATGTCCTTTTAGAACTCCTCTAGACTAGGGTATTTATTGCATTCAAGCTCAATTGCTTGGAATAGGTAGAGTTAAATAAAATCTTCTCGAGACTGTAAGGATTACAATATCTTTCTCTGAAACATGAAAGAAAAAAAAATAAAATTACTTAAATACACAAGGTCAAAATAATGAAAGACACAATTGAATATCGTGGAGACGACGTGGGGAGACTCCATGAAAAGGTTAAAGACCAGAGGGCGTGGAACGAGTTTACTGAACAGCTGTTCTCCGTCGCTGGAATCAACACTAAAGTTGGACGCTACTCATGAGCGCCAACACAAAGAGAATATTAGGATGGTATTCTAATGTGTGTGTGTTTGTGTGTGTGTGTGTAAATGATCTCATGGCTCTTTACACTTCTTCCGGGGGCCCCTAATAGGAAACACTGATCTAATGATTCTGAAGAAAGGAGGGGGGGGGGGGGTTAGGGACTAGGCCAACGGTGGCAGGATTTAGTCAAGACCAGTTGTGCAGTGGAAGGAAACATTTAACACACCCAACAGCAACTAGTAACGGACACATTTCCGAGCTTTCAGGCGTGTTGGGCATATAGGGTTAGACATGTAGTTTTATAGACCAACTCAATGTGCGATGCA